TAATTTTTGTATTTTTAATAGAGACGGGGTTTCACCATGTTGGCCAGGCTGGTCTCGAACTCCTGACCTCAGGTGATTCACCCGCCTTGGCCTCCCAAAGTGTTGGGATTACAGGCGTGAGCCAAATGTTAAGTGAACGCATCCTATTTTACATACGAATTACCCAGCAAGTGACTGGGATGTTGTAGCGGTGCTTCGCTGACCGTTGTCCTATGCCGAGGGTTTGCTCGAGGGACAGAGGAGGATGGTGCTGTCCTGCGGTTCCGTCTGGCTTCCTGTGCCTGTCCTCCGAGGCTCGCTGTTACCTTTCTGAGCCCCAGCTTCTAGCGCCCGAAAGGGCTGGGGCTGAGCGGCGCCCTGAGCGTTCTCTGTAAACACGTGGGGTCCCCACGCCAAGCCCGGCCTTCCGCATGCAGCTTCCTGGGCTGCCCTTGAGAAGCAGAGCCCCTTTTCCTTTGCCCACCGCACCAGTGCTGGCGCTCAGGTGCCACCTCCCTTGTAATCCACAGCCCGTTTCTGGGTGCAGGCGTGTGTGTTAGCGCGAGGAGTGTTTTCAGACCCCGTGCCCCCTTCTTCGTGCTGCCGGCCCCGCCAAGCTTTGAACAAATTGTGGCTGCGTGGTGGCTCACGCCGGGAATACTAAAACTTTAGGAGGCCGAGACCGGAGGAGCCCTTAAGCCTAGGAGTTCGAGACCAGCCTGGGCTAAAGACACCCCTATTTCTTAAAAAACAACAAAACAAAAAAAATGTAAATTAGGGTGTGATTGGATAGACCTCCATGAATGTGGCCTTTCCTACTGAGAAAGGCCTGGTGAGGCTGTGGCTTAGAGTGAGTCACCGGCAGTGTCGGACCGGGCAGGCCTCCCCTCCCGCCAAGGTTGGCTGGCTTGGAGGAGACGGCGGGGGTTGGGGGTGTTGGGGGCGCGCCTGTGCTCTGAGGGGGGCTGACTCCAACAGCCCATTTCCTTCTTCCCCAACGTACTTATCAAATACACTCCTTTCTCTGGCGGAGAGGATTAAAGAGTGTAGGAAGCAAAAGTGGATCCCAAATGGGGTCCAGTCACGTGGAAGGAAACGTTAAGGACTGGGCACAGCATTCCCGCGCTGTGTAGGCACGGTCGGCCCGGCTCCTCCCCGGGATCTGGCGGTCCACCTGGGGAGGGCGTCCAGGCCTGGGAATGGGGTAGTGGAGTTGCAATTAAACTCGACCCCACCAGGTGCCGCTGTTACTGCTGCCAAACAGATGCCCACAGCTTCCAGGCCGTGCTCTCTGCCTGGAGCTCTTTAAGCCCCTCTTTGACCTCCTTGCCCCACTCCCCACCACTCATTGCAGTCTCTAAATTCAGGGTCTGGTTTAACCTCTAAATGGCAAGTGTTGGGAAAAGCAAGGAAATTCTCCATCTTACTCCGGCCAAAATCCAATTTGCTGTGTAAGTAGGTTTTGTTCTAGCCACACGGAGAGCAGATGGTCAACCTCGCTGAGTCTGAAACTCCTCATGTAAAATCGTATTGAGTTCTCGTGTTTCCTTTATAGAAACAGGCGGAATGAGCCCTCACCCTCTCTTCCTGGGCTTCCTTTCCAAGCTCCTAATCACCTCTCACAGCTCTCCTTCCTGGAACTTCCTCACGGGCCTACCCACAGCCCCTCTTATGGAGACCACAGCTGTGGACCCGCCTGGCCGCTGCTGAACTGGAAGACTCCAGATAAGGTCAGGAAGCCTGGGGCCTGCCCTGGCCCCGGATGGGTTGGCCCCGAAACATTTTCTCATTCTGGGCTTTCGTGCCTGCCGTGGCCAGCCAGCTCCAGGTGTTTCAAAGATCCATCGAAATAAGGGAAATGCAGGCCGGGCCTGGTGGCTCACACCTGTAGTCCCAGCACTTTGGGAGGCTGAGACGGGTGGATCACCTGAGGTCGGGAGTTTGAAACCAGCCTGACCAACATGGAGAAACCCCGTCTCTACTAAAAGTACAAAAAATTAGCCGAGCGTGGTGGCACACGTCTGTAATCCCAGCTACTCGGGACGCTGAGGTAGGAGAATCACTTGAACCCGGGAGGCGAAGGTTGCGTGAGCCGAGATGGCGCCATTGCACTCTAGCCTGAGCAACCAGAGAGAAACTGGGTCTCAAAAAAAAAAAGGGAAATGAAAATGTTTCAGAAGGGTGGTGTCGGGATGGCGGGATATAGGTGACTTTTTTTTTTCATAATATGAGTCATGCTTTTATTGTTTTGGGTTTTTGTTTTTTGCTCTTGTTACCTAGGCTGGAGTCCAATGGTTCGACCTTGGTTTACTGCAATCTCTGCTTCCCTGTTTCAAGTGGTTCTCCTGCCTCAACCTCCCCAGTAGCTGGAACTACAGGTGCACACCACCACATCCGGCTAATTTTTTTGTATTTTTAGTAGCGACAGGGTTTTACCATGTTGTTCAGGCTGGTCTTGAACTTCTGACCTCAAGTGATCTGCCCACCTAGGCCTCCCAAAATTCTGGGGTCACAGGCATGAGCTTCTGCAGCTGGCCTATTGTTTTTTTTCAACACAATGAAGGATAAAAATGTTAAAGAGGGTGACAGTTAAGCTCACTGCTCGCGTGTGTGACCACACTCTCCAGGCCTCCTGGTCCCCCATCAAGCATGCGGAGAACCCATTCGCTAGCATCCTTGTCTCTCGTGGTTTTGTTCAACTAACTGGTCTGTTTTCTATTCCCTTTGCTCATCATCCCATTAGTGCTCTCCTGAGAGCCATCCTCCTGAGGGGAATCACCCATAAAAATAAAGCATGCACCCACAAGAGAGGGACAAATGCTTGCTTGGGGAGCCCCTGTTTGGGGCCAGGCCCTGGGGTGATCCCTTTTTCATGCCGATGCCCCGATCCTCATACTCCTGGGAGAGGGTCCCTTTGCCCATTTTGAACACAGGAAAACTGGCTCTAATAGGATTGATGGAAGTGGCCCAGGGTCAGTGAAGCAGGAGCTGAACTCTGAGCCCGGTCCTGCCAGACTCCAGAAGCCTGAAAGGCACCAGCAAGCGTGGTCTCCCATGGGTGAGCGCAGTCCAGCAACAGCCTCGCCCAGGACGCCTCAAAACACTGCGAGAGCTCCTCAGAGGCCCTTTTCCCTCGTTTTGTCATCAAATAAACCCAGAGGCCAGAGGTCTTTACTTGTCATCCTAATGATGCTGATTTAAAATTTTTATTCTGCAGCTTGAGATCACTACTGCTTCAGAATTCAAATTCAGCTTCTTTTAAGGAGGGGAGGTGGGGAGAGCTTAAAAATTATCTTGCTGAAAATGAATCTGTTGTGTTTAGATATTTGCTCAAAAGTTTATTAACGGCCAGGAGCAGTGGCTAACACCTGTAATCCCAGCACTTTGGGAGGCTGAGGCAGGCAAATAACCTGAGCTCAGGAGTTTGAGACCATCCTGGGCAAAATGGTGAAACCCCATCTCTACTAAAATACAAAAAAATTAGCTGGGCGTGGTGGCGGGTGCCTATAATCCCAGCTACTCGGGAGGCTGAGGCGTAGGAATCGCTTGAGCATGCTCGAACTCCTCTGACAGCATCCAGACTTTGCCCCCTCAGAGGAGCCCAGACAGCAAGAAAGGGAGGAGTCTCCAGGCCTCCCTGACAGTTCTCTCAGGTGGAATAAAGGGATCTCGTGAACAGAATCGCATGGCAACAGGCCGGGTCCCCTCTGTCTGAGGACTCTGCATTATTAGAGGAAGAGGCCGGTGAACTCAGGCAAGATTCTCTGGATAGAACTGTGGGCTGGTGGCCCAAGACTGGGAGCCCCTGCCAGCATTCCCTCTGGCTTGGAGATGCTCCATGCTCAGCCTCAGCAGACCAAACCCTCCCACCACCTCGCTTGGCTCCCGGGCACTCTGCTTCCCTGCCTGTGGCTTGCAGCACCCTCAGCCACCCACAGGGGCCTCCTTTCAGGGTCAGGAGTCCCAGCTGGCATGACTCCCCTTGTGGGGGATCGGCTGGCCAGGCGGACTGGGAGCCTGTGCTCAGTCACAGGAGTGCTCAACGTGGTGAGTGTGGCCTGTTCCCCTCTCACCCTGGAAATGTCCTGCCTGAGGGGCCGGGCGGGGCTCCCAGGTGGCAGTCCTCCTCCCAGGACAGGGGTGGCGAGCGCATCGCTGCCTGAATCCCGCAGACTGGGCTGCACAAGGTTCACCTGCATTGTGTTGTGCTGTTACTTACATAGATTTGGGAGGAAAATCGATCTTTTCTTGAAGTGAAGCACTGGAGGGCTTAAGGTGCCATTTAAACACCAGAAAGGGCAGCACTCTTAGTGGAGATGCATTTTTTGCACCTGCCACTTTGCCTCATCCAGCACCTTCCCAGCTCGTAAGGGAGTCAGAGGTTGAGGCGTGGCCGCTGCAGAGGATTAAGGGGTTTCCCTCGGGGCCTCCAGAAGCTGCAAGTCGGGGCGTTTTTGGATGCTTGAGCAAAGGATAAGACCTGCACTTTCCCGCTCAGTCCTCAGCCCAGAACATGGTAACCCACTACTCCATAAGCTGCTGACTGCAGGTTTCTTTTTTTTTTTTTTTTTTGAGATGGAGTTTTGGTCTTGTTACCCAGGCTGGAGTGCAATGGCGCAATCTCGGCTCACCGCAACCTCCGCCTCCTGGGTTCAAGCAATCCTCCTGCCTCAGCCTCCTGAGTAGCTGGGAATACAGGTGCGTGCCACCATACCCAGCTAATTTTTTTTTTGTAGTTTTAGTAGAGACAAGGTTTCACCATGTTGACCAGGATGGTCTTGATCTCTTGACCTTGCGATCTACCCACCTCGGCCTCCCAAAACTGTGGGTTTCTGAGTGTGGGGTGGGGACACTGTGTATCTGTTTCCTCCTCACGTGTGTTTTCTGTACAAACCCATAACAGTAGTCAAATAAGGGAAACCAACAAAGGATACAATGACCAAATTATATAGCTTCTGTTTTTTGTGGAAACTCTGAAAGAAAAACATAGCAATATTGAGAAAAATGCTTCAGAGGCAAACTTCTGAGGGGCATTTTTTATTATAAATTTAATATGGTTGATTAATGAAAAATCACAATGAAGTACCAAGAAAATGTTTGTCAATATAAAAATTTTAGCAGCATTTCCATAGTTTCAGGCTCCAACATTAGTCGCACCTCCTCCCTCCCGCTATCAAAAAAGAAGAGACTCCAATGGGCTAGAGTAGAGCCTGGTGTCCAGCTTTGCGTGGGCCTCAGAGAAATACTCCATCAGTGTCCAGCATTCCCCCTCCCTCCTGTCCCTGAATGTCAAAGCACAGAAAAAGCCTCCTTTGCACTGACACTTGAGACAAGCATCCATTCTTCAGGTTGCAAGGAGAACTAGGATGGAAACTGACACCGGACTTGACATGTAGTGCTCGGCCGCACGCCTTCACTGACACCTGTGCATTCTCTACTCTGATGACAAGGAAAGGCCACTGCAGGGTGGGCGGGATCTGGTGTGTGGTGGCGGTGGCGGCGGCACTGCTGGTGGGAGCCACGGTGTGGCGCATGCTGGGTGACGGTGCCGCCGCCACACGTGCTCCGGGGTGGGTATGATCAGTGAGGGGGAGACAGACAACATGAAAATATAACACTGGCCAACGATTCCCCTGCTTCTTTGGTACTTTCCAAAATTCTCTGATCAAAAAAGTATAAGGGAAGCACACCATTAAAAAATTACAGTTTTACGTATTTACAAAAGCAATGATGATATATTACACAAGAATCAATACACAGTATATGAACAAATCTTCAGTGAAAGCACTTGTGACCTCCCGTCCTGCTGTCATCCCACAGCGTGTGGCCTCTGATGGGTCGTGTCACCTGTCCTGAAGCTCGTTACCTTACAGTATATTAGAAGGGAAAAACATCATTTGGAAAAAAATTATTTTCCAATCTACACTTTCCTTTTAAAGGCTTAACATTTGCTATTGAAATAGCTATGTACAAGATTTATTGAATATTGACTTCTAGGCAATGATCTCCACTCCCATCTTGAATATGTTTGAAATAACACTACCTATTCTATGGATACAATATATATTTAATATATAAGTAACTGCACCACATTATATCACCACGATACCAGTTTAATACATATTATTATGTACAGTAGTTAAGTTAGCTTGGGAAGGTGAGTCTCCGCAGCCTGGGTGAATGGTGTGGGATGGAGCCTCCCTGAAGGGAGGCAGAGAGCTGGTCATGAGAGAGCCATGCACGGCCAGGATGTGTGTGTGCATGGCATGAGGTCACGTGTCTCCCACATGCCCACACCAGACCATCCTTTAGCTGTTTGCAGCTGGAAGAAGACAAATCACACATATGGAAGGATCCCATACATGAGAAGAGCCATGACAGCAGCACTGAACAGCCCGGCCACGGGGACAGTCACGAACCAGGCCACAAAGATGTTCCGAAAGAGGCGCCAGTCCACAGCCTTGCGGGAGCGGATCCAGCCCACCGCCACCACCGAACCCACCTGTGGGAGCACAGACATTGCAAAGTAAAAACAGGTGAGCCACAAAGTCTACACTCAACCAATGTACACAGGCTAATCTCAGAAACAAGCTCTAGTACGGCATTACCCGGTCCCCTACATTTGTTACAGCTTTTAAAATGGCTTAGATTTTAGGTAGAATTGTTTGGGGATTCTTCAGCATATAGCTCTTTACACAGTTCTTTTTTTTCCCCCCAAGACAGAGTCTTGCTGTGTCGCCCAGGCTAGAGCACAGTGGCACGATCTCAGCTCAAGTGAGAGATTGTGCATCCTCCATCTCCCAGGTTCAAGTGATTCTCTGGCCTCAGCCTCCCGAGTAGGGATTATAGGCGCACACCACCACCCTTGGCTAATTTTCATATTTTTAGTAGAGACAGGGTTTCACCATGTTGGCCAGGGTGGTCTCAAACTCCTCACCTCAAGCGATCCACCTTCCTCAGCCTCGCAAAGTGCTGGAGTGCAGTGGCGCAATCTCAGCTCACTGCAACCTCCTCCTCCACGGTTCAAGCGATTCTTCTGCCTCAGCCTCCCTAGTAGCTGGGATTACAGGCACCTGCCACCACGCCCGGATAATTTTTGTATTTTTAGTAGAGACAGAGTTTCGCCAGGGTGGCCAGACTGGTTTTGAACACCTGAGCTCAGGTGATCTGTCCGCCTCAGCCAAATATTGTTGATGCCATTTATCAGCATCTTGCTTGAAGATTTTTACAATTAATATTCATAGGTAAACATAGATTTCATTGTTTGTAATATTTTAAATTAGGTTTGTTATTAGGATTATTCAGTGTAAGCTATAGCACAGATGGGAGAGGTTTTCTAGTTTTGTTTTTTCCTCCTATGTTGTGGGGTAGTTTATATTGTGTAAGAGCTGCTTTTTTGTTTGTTTGTTTAAATCGAAAAGATCCTAATGAATTTATCTAGTCAGCAGTATCTTCCCCTGCCCCACCCCTAGCACCTTTTTGCTTTTTTACGTGAGAACAATCGTTTTTGGAGAACTCCCTTAATTTCACCCTATTGTTCTGGGTCAGATTTTTTTCTACTTCTCAGATCAGTATTTCTTTGCCACATATGCTGTTACAGAAAATAATTCACAGGGGTTTTCAAATTCTTAGCAAACAGCTGTGTGGTTTCTTTACCAATGGAAACAATTTTCTTTTTCTTTTTTTTTTGAGACGGAGTTTCACTCTTGTTACACCAGGCTGGAGTGCAATGGCGTGATCTCAGTTCATGCAACCTCCGCCTCCTGGGTTCAGGCAATTCTCCTGCCTCAGCCTCCTGAGTAGCTGGGCTTACAGGCACGCACCACAATGCCCAGCTAATTTTTTGTGTTTTTAGTAGAGACGGGGTTTCACCATGTTGACCAGGATGGTCTCGATTTCTTGACCTCGTGATCCACCCGCCTCGGCCTCCCAAAGCGCTGGGATTACAGGCGTGAGCCACCACGCCCAGCCCCACAGTTTTCTTCTCTATCTGTTGTTACAATGTCTTCCTCCTTCCCAACTTAATTCCATCCCTCTTTTCCTTGATGTGATCTGATATTTTATTAGTAGCTGCTGTCCTCTCCTCTTCTTATTTTGTTTTTAATTCATTTTGCTTTTATATTTCTTACAAGCTGTTTTCTCAGTTTTTATTGTCCTGGACTTTTTACAAAATCCTAATTTTAATACTTGGTTATTTTATTTTCTCTTTTATCAATTAAACCATTTAAATATATGAATTTTCAGTTGGGCATGGTGGCTTATGCCTGTAATCCCAGCATTTTGGGAGGCTGAGGCAGGTGGATCACCTGAGGTCTGGGGTTTGAGACCAACCTGGCCAACATAGTGAAACCCCATTTCTACCAAACATACAAAATTTAGCTGGGCGTGGTGGTGGCCTGTAATTCCAGCTACTTAGGAGGCTGAGACAGGAGACTCACTTGAACCCGGGAGGCAGAGATTGCAGTGAGCTGAGATCGCACCACTGCACTCTAGCCTGGGTGTCAAGAGCAAAACTCTGTCTCCCCAAAAATATATATATATGAATTTTCATCTTAGCATAGCTTTGGTTGCCACAGGTTTTGCTATTTGTATCCACTCACAGACATGCACATTTGGTTATTATTTTTTAAGAAAGCTATCATTGTATTTTTTTAAACTCCTTAATTCAATTGTTACCTTAAAAAAGCATTAAAAAGTCTCCACTGGGATACATTCTTATTTCAATATATAATTAATTTCTAGTTTGATTTTATTGTAATTAGAGATCATGGTTAGCAAAACTTCTATGTTTAAATTTTTTGTTTAATTTTAATTTTTAGAAAATACAGACAGGGTCAAGATGTCGACCAGGCTGGTTTCATACCTCTGGGGTCAATCCTCCCACCTCAGCCTCCGGAAATGCCGGGATTACAGGGGTAAGCCAGCCACCACAGCAGGCCTGCTTTTAAAGTTTTACAGGATTTTTACCATGGTCTTCTGATTTTTGGATTTATAAATGTTTCAGGATGCTTGACAGGAAGACATATGATCAGTAGGGTAAAAACTTGTACATACTTATTAATTATGATGCTCTAAATAACTGTTCAAATTCTTCATACTACCACATACCTTTTCTTTTTCTTTCTTTTTCTTTTTTTTTTTTTTTGACAGAGTCTTGCTCTGTCGCCCATGCTGGAGTGCAATGGCATGATCTTGGCTCACTGCAACCTCTGCCTCCCAGGTTCAAGCAATTCTCCTGTCTCAGCCTCCTGAGTAGCTGGGACTACAGGCACACACCACCACACCAGGCTAATTTTTGTATTTTCAGTAGAGACGAGCTTTCACCATATTGGTCAGGCTGGTCTCGAACTCCTGACCTCAGGTGAGCCACCCACCTCAGCCTCCCAAAGTGCTGGGATTACAGCCATGAGCCACCATTTCACATGGCAAAACCCCATTTCTACTAAAAATACAAAAATTAGCAGAGCATGGTGGTGCACACCTATAACCCCACCTACTCAGGAGGCTGAGGCAGAATTGCTTGAACCCAGGAGACAGAGGTTGCAATGAGCGAAGATTGCGTCACTGCACTCCAGACTGGGAGACAAAGCAAGACTCTGTCTCAAACAAAACAAATCTCTACGCACTTAGCCATCTACACTTAGAAGGAAGCCTAAATCAGTAACATCTACCTAGATAAATTCAAAAACTCATTTTAAACAATAGTTTTCATCTTATTTCCTGCCAAGTCCCCAGTTTTTCCCTACCGTCTGTTAGATGGCTCTAAGCAAGAAACTTAAAAAGCAAACACAGGATAATTATCCTGAAACTGATCCAATTCAACTATGACTCTATGTGGACATCAATACCCTTTGAATGTGTCCAGATTCATGGCCTCACTCACAGAGGGCCCCATTCTTCACGCCATCCCACGGCTCTCATAGTTCATCCCACATTTGCCATTTGGGGACTGTTGTGTGCAGGGGAAATATGTGATACGAGAGAGCAAGCATTTCCGGGTAATGACAACTGTGAACTCTCCCCAGCACTTCTATTATTTGGAATCTGATGAGAGCCATCTGCTCTCCAACTGCACTGCAAGCTCCTGAGAGCTGAGACTGTGTCCTTAGTGCTCACAGGGAATAGCTCTGGACTTTATCCAGAAGTGCAAGATCAGTGATATCAGACAAACTGACTAGAATCCAAGTTGTGACCTATTACAGATGGCACCCCGCTGCAGGCCCATGTCAGGGAGACCTGCTTTTTGTGCCAACAAGCTATCCTAACACTACCCATCACCAGCTCAACAAAAACAAAACTTATCACATGCTTGTACAGATATCTTAGGATAATGATAACATATACATCTATTCACTGTAAAAACTGGATATAAATCTCTTAGTTACACATTATTATAGTATAAATATCAATACGGTATTGGGGAAATCACACGTCAAGAGAATTTAAGAGTTTGGCTTTTTAAATAAGCATTTTATACTTCTCATCTATTCCTATAGTTTAGTGTTACTAGAGTTTAGTGTTATTAGCAAAATCAGTATTGTCCATTCCAACACTGTATGTAGTAAACATCTGTACGGACTAGACTGCTCATACAGTTAGCTACAAGCTAACTCATACAAGCTGGAAAAACCAAACCTGTGCTGGTTTTTCAAAAGCTCTTTCAGGCCGAGCACGGCGGCTCATGCCTGTAATCCTAGCACTTTGGGAGGCTGAGGCAAGCAGATCACCTGAAGTCAGGAGTTCAAGACCATCCTGGCCAACATGATGAAACTGCGTCTCTACTAAAAATACAAAAATTAGCTGGGTGTGGTGGCACGTGCCTGTAATCTCAGCTACCCTGGATGCTTAGGCAGGAGAATTGCTTGAACCCAGGAGGCAAAGGCTGCAGTGAGCCAGGACCATGCCACTGCACTCCAGCCTGGGTGACAGAGCAAGACTCCATCTCAAAAAAAAAGAAAAGCTCTTTCAACTGGTGCGGAACAGTCTGCCTGCCTTCAGCAGTCTTGCTTAAGGGTAGGTTAATCATTAAAAAGATGGCATTACATCTGTTTAAAAGCATTCCAAAAGACATATGATGAAAGTCACAAGCCCGTGTCCTTGGAAAGAATGTATTTAGTGACATGCGTCTCCTCTATGCTCCTACATAACACAGTAAATGGAACTGACATGGAGTTCGGGGAAGATGTCACTTTTCATTCCCTATAGTCTCGTATTGTTTATTTCAGTGAATATGTGCTTCTCTGGTAAGTTTTAAATAACCCATTTTAGGAAACTCACAATGAATGGGTAGCGGGCACGCCTCTTCCTGCCTGCCTTCCCTCCCCATGCTTGCCAGGTGGAGCCGGGGAGGAGGTCGTTGGCCACGCCGCCCACGTGGGTGCCTCATTTGTGCGGCTCCCTGGCTTTGTAACCTCAGGCACGTTACTTAACTTTCCTCTGCTTCAGTTTCCTCATGTGTGAAGCTGGGGAAGGTTCTTGGGGAGACTGAGGGGGCTCATGTTCACGGCGCCAGTGGAGTGCTTGCCTCAGCCACCCTTGGCCATGGTTGGGCGCCATGATGGTGCCAATGGGGACCTGAATAAGGAGGTGTGACCTGAGGTAAATATCTGAATCCTCCATCTATCACATGTGGCTGTGTGCACGTGGGAAGCGGCCCAGCTCTGAGGGAACCCAGTCTCCTCACTTGTGGACTGGGAGTTGACAGTTCCAACCCCACAGGCTTGCTGTGGAGAGGGAATGGCGCACCATGCATGTGGTGCTGAGCACAGTACCCAGCACTTCCTGATGATCAGTAAGTGGGGGTATATGAATACAGACGCTTTGTGGAAACTGAAGTGTTTCCATACATGATAGCAAAAAAGGAAAAAAACAAAACCTCTTTCCACTGAGGCTGATTCCTCATGCACAGAGCCCCAGCTTTGAAACACACTGCTGGGGCATTCCAGATGCTCTTGTGAGGGCCAGCTGACCTGGGTGTTTGAAGCACGAAGCTGCCTGCCTTTGCTTGGCGGTTTTTCTTTTCTTTTTTTTTTTTTTTTTTTTTTTTTTTTTTTTTTTTTTTTTTTTTTTTTTTTTTTTTTTTTTGACAGAGTCTTGCTCTGTCGCCCATGCTGGAGTGCAATGGCATGATCTTGGCTCACTGCAACCTCTGCCTCCCAGGTTCAAGCAATTCTCCTGTCTCAGCCTCCTGAGTAGCTGGGACTACAGGCACACACCACCACACCAGGCTAATTTTTGTATTTTCAGTAGAGACGAGCTTTCACCATATTGGTCAGGCTGGTCTCGAACTCCTGACCTCAGGTGAGCCACCCACCTCAGCCTCCCAAAGTGCTGGGATTACAGCCATGAGCCACCATTTCACATGGCAAAACCCCATTTCTACTAAAAATACAAAAATTAGCAGAGCATGGTGGTGCACACCTATAACCCCACCTACTCAGGAGGCTGAGGCAGAATTGCTTGAACCCAGGAGACAGAGGTTGCAATGAGCGAAGATTGCGTCACTGCACTCCAGACTGGGAGACAAAGCAAGACTCTGTCTCAAACAAAACAAATCTCTACGCACTTAGCCATCTACACTTAGAAGGAAGCCTAAATCAGTAACATCTACCTAGATAAATTCAAAAACTCATTTTAAACAATAGTTTTCATCTTATTTCCTGCCAAGTCCCCAGTTTTTCCCTACCGTCTGTTAGATGGCTCTAAGCAAGAAACTTAAAAAGCAAACACAGGATAATTATCCTGAAACTGATCCAATTCAACTATGACTCTATGTGGACATCAATACCCTTTGAATGTGTCCAGATTCATGGCCTCACTCACAGAGGGCCCCATTCTTCACGCCATCCCACGGCTCTCATAGTTCATCCCACATTTGCCATTTGGGGACTGTTGTGTGCAGGGGAAATATGTGAGAGCAAGCATTTCCGGGTAATGACAACTGTGAACTCTCCCCAGCACTTCTATTATTTGGAATCTGATGAGAGCCATCTGCTCTCCAACTGCACTGCAAGCTCCTGAGAGCTGAGACTGTGTCCTTAGTGCTCACAGGGAATAGCTCTGGACTTTATCCAGAAGTGCAAGATCAGTGATATCAGACAAACTGACTAGAATCCAAGTTGTGACCTATTACAGATGGCACCCCGCTGCAGGCCCATGTCAGGGAGACCTGCTTTTTGTGCCAACAAGCTATCCTAACACTACCCATCACCAGCTCAACAAAAACAAAACTTATCACATGCTTGTACAGATATCTTAGGATAATGATAACATATACATCTATTCACTGTAAAAACTGGATATAAATCTCTTAGTTACACATTATTATAGTATAAATATCAATACGGTATTGGGGAAATCACACGTCAAGAGAATTTAAGAGTTTGGCTTTTTAAATAAGCATTTTATACTTCTCATCTATTCCTATAGTTTAGTGTTACTAGAGTTTAGTGTTATTAGCAAAATCAGTATTGTCCATTCCAACACTGTATGTAGTAAACTGCTCATACAGTTAGCTACAAGCTAACTCATACAAGCTGGAAAAACCAAACCTGTGCTGGTTTTTCAAAAGCTCTTTCAGGCCGAGCACGGCGNTTTTTTAACTTATGGCTGGAATCTTAAAATCGTGAGTAAATATAAACGTGGGTGGCTGTGGCTGTCATGAGGGCTCATGTATTCCTCCTGCTGCCTAGAGCTCTGCCCCTACGCAGCAAACGCCAATGAGTTTTTCTCGAATGATGCCAATAAATGAACCTAGGAAACATCTGGAAGGAACTTTTGTTTAGTTGAGACTGGTGAGTGTGTCTGTACACAGAGGCTCACCGGAGCTATTTTAGAAGTATCTGTCTGTAGATACTGGGCAGAGTTGGGTGATGAGACCCGGGTTCTGGTCCTCCCCACCCTGGCAGCCTGTGGATCGCTCCCTGGAACTCCCGGAAGCCCAGCTTTCCTCACCACCACCAGGAGCCCTCTCTTGTCCAGCTCCAGGTTTCAGAGCATGGCACAGTGGTCAGTATCAGCAATTACCCCTCATGGGGAAATAAGGGCAATGTAGTCACTTTGAACATCATTTAAGGAACAAAACCAGAAACAATTCCACGGAAATGATTTTTGTTAATTTCTATTTCCAGTGTCAACCCCCAGTCCCCTGAATGGCTGGACTGAGTGGCAGGCTCCCAGGTGAGCCCATGGGTATGCTCAGAGCACATAGGAGGCCGATCAAACTCCACTGTGGAAACCAGGAGCGCAGCAGGTCAGTCCCAGGCAGGCCAGCCGTGGCATTTTGCCTTGGAAAAGCCAGGTCTGAACGAGGGATGGTGTTGTCCTGCCAACAGGAGGACGTTGGAGGGGCAGATGGAGGAACACAAGGTCCCGGCAGACGAGGAGAACCTGAGAGAGGCGCTTTGCACCACCACCTTCAGAGCGCTACCGCCTCCCTCGCGTGCGCTCGGTGGCTTTGGACCCACCCTAACGGCTTGGGGAAGGGCTCCCGGCTGGCAGGGGCCTACCTTGCAGTGCGTGGTGCTGACTGGGAGCCCGATGTTGGAGGCGATCACCACGGTGAAGGCGGAGGCCAGCTCGATCGTGAAGCCGCTGCGGGGGGAGCATGAGACACGTCACGGGCGCCCTTTTATCATCCTCCTGGACACCCTGCGGGCGCCAGAGGCTCGCCAGAACATTCTGGGGGGTGACTGCCGACTGCTGACTGGGCAAGATCGACTTTAACAGAACAAGGGGCTGCTCAATCGGCACCAAGGCTGCGCTTTCCTGCCACTGTCCCCAGCGGCCCGGCTTTCTGATACCTTTTCAAAGCCCACGCACGGCAGTCCCGTGGCCAGACATTCCTGCTGTGCAGTAAGATAGCCATTTCAAAAACGGAAAAGGAAAAGCTATGCTCTCATTTTAAAAATGCGCACTTATTACAAAAGAGTGTATTTCTCTCGGAGTACTAACTGTTCTTCAAACCAATCTTCTAAATTATCTTTTATTAAAATGAATTTCAAGTGAGAACCAAAAATTAGAAATTTAAAGTCTGTGTGTATATAGGACGATTCCTGAGCTGTTTTAGCTTTCTCTGCAGATGTAGAGCAGAGCTGTGTGATGGGGTTTGGGTTCTGGTCCTCCCCACCCCAGCTGCCCTTGGTTCCCTTCCTTTAACTCCCGAGCCTGTAGGAAAAGGAAACCTCCCATATGCTTTAAAAAGAGAGATTTCCCATCACAGATGGCTCCAAATTTTGGTCGTATTCTAAAAGTTCTGGAAGTTCCTTTAACCTCTGATGCAGCTGAAGGCTTATGTGGTTGAGAGACCACATTTAAAGCCTCCAGAGCTCACCCACGACGGCAGGGGACACCTCCCTGTCTGGCAGAGCAAGAGCTAAGGTAACCCCAGCAGGGTGGCCGCTGAGAGCTGGCATGGCCAGAGAACTTTCAGGAAAGATCGGCTCCAGGGCCTGCCGCAGTCTGTGCCCTCCCTGCTCACCTGCCTCTGGCCCCCAAGCTGGCTGAGGGTAGGCTTCTCCTCTCCTCCCTGCCTGTTCCGCTCTGTTACCCCTCCTTGTCTGCCCTTCCCTCTCAGGGACCCTTCCCACTCAGGGACCCTGTGGTCAGAGGCTGGGACACAGGGAGGGAGGAGGAGGGGAAATGGCATGCAAGGTGGGTCAGGGCCATTCTTGCCCACTGTCCCCTCCTCCGTGACCCACTACTGACTGCCAGTGTTGAGCTGGCCATTCAGACACAGCTGGGCAGCTCCACCCAGTCCTCGGATGACAAGCCTGCCCTGCCTGTCCACCGGCCCGGGCTTACCTGGATGGTGTGATGGGAGTGAGGTCCTTCCCCATGGTCTGGATCACTCTTCTCCCCCAGACCCAGAGGCCTGTGCAGATTCCAACTCCTCCGTAAAACAGCAGCCAGACGGGCGTAGCTGCTTCTTGCATTACCCCGCCTTGTCTGTAAATCAGCCACAAGGCTACCAGGGGACCAATGGCATTACTGGGAAAAAGAAAAAGAAAAAAGATTAACTACACATGCAAGCGGCACCATACATGATACAGGTGACTTTCTTTTACTGTGCTTCACTTTATCACACTCCACAGATATGATGTTTCTTCCTTCTTTATTTCTTTTTTTATTTTTTTGGAGATGGAGTCTCGCTCTGCCACCCAGGCTGGAGTGCAGTGGCATGATCTCAACTCACTACAACCTCCGCCTCCTGGGTTCAAGCAATTCTCCTGCCTCAGCCTCCCTCCCGAGTAGTTAAGAGGACTACAGGTGTGCACCACCATGTCCAGCTAATTTTTGTATTTTTAGCAGAGACAGGTTTTCACCATATTGGCCAGGCTGGTCTCGAACTCCTGACCTCGTGATCTGCCACCTTGGCCTCCCAAAGTGCTGGGATTGCAGGCGTGAGCCACTGTGCCCGGCCTTCCGGTATGATATTTTTTACAAATTGGAGGTTTGTGGCACCCCCACATCAAGCAAGTCCACTGGCGCGATTTTCCAGCAGTGTGTGCTTACGTCATGTCTCTGTCACATTTTGGTAATTCTCACAGTACTCCAAACTTTTTCATTATTATCATATATGTTGTAGTGATCTGTGATCAGTGATCTTTTATGTTACTATTATAATTGTTTTGGGGTATCATGAACTGTTACCATATGAGATGGCGAGCTTCACTGATAGATGCTGTGTGTTCTCCCTGCTCCACCGACCTGCCACTCCCCCGTCTCTCTCCATCTCCTCCGACCTCCCTATTTACTGAGATATTGCAATATTGAAATTAAGCCAATAAATTACCCTACAGTGGCCTCTAAGTGTTCAATTGAAAGGAAGAGTTGCATGTCTCTCAGTTTAAATCAAAAGCTAGAAATGATTAAGCTTAGTGAGGCTTGTCAAAATTGGAGACAGGTCAAAAGCTAGGCCCCTTGGGCCAAACGGTTAGCCAAGTTGTGAGCGCCAAGGGAAAGCATCTTGAAGGAAATTAAAAGTGCTACTCCAATGAACACATGAATAATAAGAAAGCAAAACAGCCATATTGCTGATATGGAGAAAGTGTGAGTGGTCTGGATAGAAGATCAAACCAGCCACAACATTCCCTTTAAGCCACAGCCTAATCCAGAGCAAGGCCCTAGTTCTCTTCAATTCTGTGAAGGCTGAGAGAACACAGGAAGCTGCAGAAGAAAGGCTGGAAGATAGCAGAGGTCAGTTCAGGAGGTTGAAGGAAAGAAGCCATGTTTGTAGCATAAAAGTACAAGGTGAGCAGCAAGTGCTGATGGAGAAGCTGCAGTGAGTTCTCCAGAAGATCCAGCTAAGATCACTGATGAAGGTGGCTACACTAACAGCAGATTTCCAATATAGAAGAAACAGTCTTCTATTGGAAGATGATGCCAGCTGGGACTTCTAGAGCCAGAGAGAAGGCAATGTCTGGCTTCAAAGCTTCAAAAGACAGGCTGACTCTCTTTTCAGAGGCTAATGCAGCTGGTAACTTTAGTTGAAGCCAATGTTCACTTACCATTCCAGAAATCCTATTGCTCTTAGGAATGACGCTAAATCTACTCTGCCTATGCCCTAGAAATGGAACAACAAAGTAAATTGAAGCTAATGCTCATTTACCATCCTGAAAATCCTAGGGCCCTTCCATTCTGCCTGTGCTCTCTAAATGGAACAACAAGGGCTAGATGACAGTACATCTGTTTACACATGGTTTACTGAATATTTTAAGCCCACTGTTGAGACCTACTGCTCAGAAAAAATATTAATATTTCAAAATATTACTGCTCATTGACAATGTACCTGGTCACCAGTGAGCTCTGATGGAGGTGTGTAAGGAGATGAATGTCGTGTTCCTGCCTGTGAACAGAGCATCCATTCTGCAGCCCATGGATCAAGGAGTAATTTGACTTTCAAGTCTTATTACTTAAGAAATACACTCTGTAGGACCGTAGCTGCCATAGATAGTGATTCCTCTGATGAGTCTGAGGATTCCACTGAAACCTTCTGGAAAGGATCCCCCATTCTAGATGCCATTAGAACATCTGTGATTCATGGGAGGAAGTAGAAATACCAACATTAACAGAAGTTTGGAAGAAGTTGATTCCAACCCTCGTGGATGACTTTGAGGCGTTCAAAACTTTAATGATGGAAGTCACTGCAGATGTGGTGGAAATAGCAAGAGATCTAGAAGTAGAGCCTGGCGATGTGACCAAACTGCAATCTCATGACAGAACTTTAACAGATGAGGAGGTGCTTCTTATGGATGAGCAAAGAAAGCTCCTTGAGATGGAATCTACTCCAGGTGAAGATGTTGTGAACATTGTTGAGATGACAACAAAGGATTTAGAATATTCTATAAACTCAGTTGATAGAGCAGAGGCAGGGTGTGACTGGATTGACTCCAATTTTGAAAGAAATTCTACATTAGGTAAAATGTTATCAAACTGCATTGTGTACTATGAAGAAATCTTTTGTGGAAGGAAGAGTTAATTGAAAACGGAAGAGTTAATTGAAAAGAGTGGCAAATTTCACTGTTGTCTTAATTTTAGAAATGGCGACAGCCACCCCAGCATTTAATCACCACCACCCTGATCAGTCGGCAGCCATCAACATCAAGGCCAGACCCTCCATCAGCAAAAGGATTATGATTCACTGAATGTTCAGAGGGTTGCTAGCATTATTTTTAGCAATAAAGTATTTTCAAATTAAGATATGTACATTGCTTTTTAGACATAATATTCTTGCGCATTTAACACACTACGGTATGGTAACATACAAACATAACTTTTCTATGCACTGGGACACCAGAAACTGTGTGTCTCACTGTATTGTGATACTTGTTTTATTGTAGGGGTCTGGAACGGAACCCGCAGTGTCTCCCAAGTATTCCTGTACATGGTGACTTTTGTCTTGAGCATAGCTCATCTTAGTGCATTTGAGGTTCACCTATACAACATAGTCATGATCAAAATGATTTTTTAAAAAATTTTGGTAAAAAGCATAACATAAAATTTACCATTGTAATCATTCTTATTTATAGTTTAGCAGTGTTAAGTATATTTACATTGTTGTGAAACAGATCTCCAGAACTTGTTCATCTTGCAAATGTGAAGCTGCACTCTTCAAACGAGTTCCCATGGCCCCTCCCCACAGCTACTGGCAACCGCCATCCGACTTTCTAGTTCTATGAATTTGACTGCTGCAGACAACTCATAGAAGGGGAACCATAAAGTATTTTTCTTTCTGTGATGGTTTATTTCACTTAGCATTGTGTCCTCCAGGTTCATCCATGTTACAGCAGGTGACAGGACTTCCTTCTTTTTTAAGGCTGAATAATATTCCACTGCACGCACAGGCACGTTTTGTTTCCATTCACCTGCCAGTGGCCATCTGGGTTGCTCTCCTCTCTTGGCTGTTGCAAACGGTGATGCTTTGAACGTGGGGTACAAATGTCTCTTTGAGACTCTGTTTTCAATTCTTCTGGATGTATACCCAGAAGCAGGAATGCTGAGTCATAGGGGAGGCGGTTACACCATTTAATTCGCACTAACAGCGCACAGGGTAACAATTTCTCTGTCCTTGACAACACTTGTTACTTTTTAAAAAATGGTAACCATCCTAATAGGTGCGTAATTTGTTGTTATTATTATCATATTGGGACAGAATCTCCCTCTGTCACCCAGGCTGGAGTGTAGTGGTGCAATCTCAGCTCACTGCAACCTCTGCCTCCTGGGTTGAAGCGATTTTCCTGCCTCATCCTCCCGAGTAACTGGGACCACAGGCGCCCACCACCAGGCCCAGCTAATTTTTGTATTTTTAGTAGAGGTGGGGTTTCACCATGCTGTCCAGGCTGGTCTTGAACGCCCAACCTTAGATGATCCATCTACCTTGGCCTCCCAAAGTGCTGAGATTACAGGCGTGAGCCACCATGCCCAGCCTATTAAGTCAATTAATTTTTTTTTTTTTTTTTTTTTTTTTTTAAAGTCTTGCTCTGTCGCCCAGGCTGGAGTGCAGTGGCGAGATCTCAGATCACTGCAACCTCCACCTCTGGAGTTCAAGTGATTCTCCTGCCTCAGCTTCCCGAGTAGCTAGGACTACAGGCACGCACCACCATGCCCACCTAATTTTTGTATTTTAGTAGAGGTGGGGTTTCACCATGTTGGCCAGGCTGACCTTGAACTCTGACCTCAAATGATCCACCCACCTTGGCCTCTCAAAGTACTGGGATTATAGGTGTGAGCCACTGCACCTGGCCAAAATTAATTTTTTAAACAACCAAGTTCACGACACAACAACCAAGTTCTTTTTTTCTTCCTTTTTTCCTAAAATTTCTATTTTCTCTGCCACCCCCTGCTGCTGGTACTACTAACATGAGCTGCCAGTTTTGGACAGACTGTCAGGCCCCATACTATGGGGTGCAATATTTTGCTAAGCATCCATCCCCACAGCCACCCTGCACAGCGGGCACTGTGGCTTCCGTCTTACTGATGAGGAAACCGAGGCCAGGGTCCCACCTCTGAGGCGGCAGAGTGGGCACAGCCCAGGCTCCTTCAGGCCCTCCCACCCTGTGCCTACGTTGCTCATGTCTGTCAGGCCCCCGGAGCCCATGAGACCCCGAGGTGCTCTTAACAGCTTCCCTGGCTCTTTTTTCCTCCCACAGCCAGCTGTGCAGACCGGGTGTCACTGAGTCACTGGAACTGGCTTCCAATTCAGCTTCGGTCTCCCTGTGTGACCCTGAGTGTCAGATCCCATCTCTGACAGATGCCCGCCCCTGGCTTAGAGGGGTCTTAGAGGGAGGGTGGGATAGCCCACGGCAGCTCAGTGCTGAGGCCTTGGGGCTCAACCTCGTGCTGAATGCATGGACGCCTCTTCTCACTCAGATGACTTCTAGAATGGTGCTTTCAGCAGATGCCCTCCCTGCTCCAAAGCCAAAACAGTCCCCATGCTGCAAGCAACTGCTCGGAATTCTACAATCACCCTGAGCAGCCACTGCCTAGTTGCTTTCTTTGAGCTGAAACACTGTGTGTGTGAGTACGTGTGTGTGAGTGTGCCTGTGTGAGCACACGTGTGTTTGAATGCGTGAATGTGACACTGTATTACTTTTCCATGGATATGTTTTTCTCATCTCCTTGTGTTTAAACTCCCAATGGACAGGGACCCAGTTCCTAGCGCTCTGCCAGTATCAGGCCTTCTGTAAAGAATGCTTGATGAGGAGGAGGAAGTGGGACAGCGTGGGGGCAGACAAAGTTACTAACATAGGACAGGGCACGCTGTCGCCAAGAAAATACCAAATAAAATATCACAGAAATGCCCATGTGATGCTGAGCAGAATAAAAGATGCACTCGTCTGCAGTGAGACTTCATTTATGAAGAGCAGAGACGCAGCTGCACATGGGGAGGCAGCGTGCGCAGCCCACGGGGAGTCACTGCTTGCAACAGAAGATGACAACAGCAGGGTCCCCTGAAACGTCAGTGGGCTGACCACGAGCAGAAATGCACAGAAACCGAGCGAGTTGGGAGCACCATCCTCATTACAGTACACAGGGGAAGCCTGGGAGGTTAGGAATTGTTTCCCCCCATTTTACAGATTGGGAAACAGACATCAGAAAAGCAAGTGACTTGTCTACACAGCTGTAAGAAGACAGCAGAGACCCAAACTTGGGGCTCTCGGGCCCCAGGAGGCTGCCCTGCTTCCTACATGCTGGGCCTGGGCATGGGGTGGGGAGGGTGGGGTCAAGGTTAGAGAGTCGTTAACTGCCCCTGTCCCTACACACTTATTTGCAGGATGTCTGTGACATTGTATGTGGTGTGACCTGCAGGCTCTGGCAGCAGCTCCAGCGGCTGCTCCATGCAGTGGGGAGAACTAGAGCCCACGAGAGGGGCGGAGCCTTCTCACTGGGTTAAAGATGCTACTGAAGGATGGCCAGGCGCGGTGGTTCACGCCTGTAATCCCAGCACTTAGGGAGACCGAAGGCAGGCGGATCACCTGAGGTCAGGAGTTCCAGACCAGCCTGGCCAACATGGGAAACCCTGTCTCTACTAAAAATACAAAAATTAGCTAGGCATGGTGGCACACTCCTCTAGTCCCAGCTGCTTTGGGAGGCTGAGACAGGAGAATCACTTGAACTTGGGAGAAGGAGGTTGCAGTGAGCCGAGATCTCACCACTGCACTCCAGGCTGGGGACCAGAGCGAGACTTCGTTATTAAAAAAAATAATTTAAATAAAATCACCTCCTAGGAAGTACTCCTCGAGGCCCGGTTTGGCATACCTACTCTCTTGCTGTTTCCTCAGTCCGGGTGCTCTGCCTCCCGCTGCTTGCCCTAGCAGTCCTCCATCCAAGTCACCTGCTCTGCACCCAGTCTGGCCTGACCTGAACCCCGGCACACATGCCCGCTGCCTGCTCGGCCTGAACAGCAGCATAGCGCACTGGCCGTGTCCAGGGTCTGCGTCATCCCTAAAAGGCGGCAGCTCCACTCTTGCCTTTGCCGAGGCCATGGCTCCTGTCCGGCATCAGCCTTTCCTTCTTCTCTCACATCCACGTCCAGCCCATCGCCCAAAAGCCAGTGGCCCTGTCAAACGTACCCTGCGTGGCCCCAGCTCACAGCTCCACAGCTTCCCTCTTGGGCCGAGACCTTCCTCTGTCCACTGGCCACGCGCTCTGCATCCTCGAACTGCAGACGCGCGGTCTCCGCTCGGCCCTCGCGAGACCTCCTAGCTCGTCCTGGAGGGCAGAGGTGTGCGTCTGCCTCAAGCCCCTGCACCTGCCATTTTCCTTCCTGCGGACGCCAAGTGACCACCCCTGCAGCTCCGTCATTGGCCAGCCCTTCCCTGGGTAGCCCAGGTCGCACGGCCACCCCTGCAGCTCCTGCCCTGTGTCTACCTTACTTTCCTGCTAATGCTGTCGCGGTCCCGTATGCAATGCTGACTTATGGATCTGTCCACCGCCTGCGCGCCCTACTCCAGGCAGGGGCTTCCATCGGTGCCATTCACTGCTGGATCCCGGCACTCGCACAGCGCTGGCGCCTGGCAGAGCCTCCGGGACCCTTGATGAATGAACGAATGAATGCACCCACCTCACATCATTGCCGCCGTGAGCAAAGGACCCAAAACAGGCGGTGAGGACCTGCAGGAAATGGAACAGTAGGTGCACCTCGGGCGCGTCCTTCTCCTCCTTCTCCTCCTCCGTGGGGTCCTCCCGCGGCTGGTCAGGGTCGGCCAGCTCCGACGCCAGCTTCATCTCCACGCCGCCCTCCTCCGCCTCGATCTCCGCCTCCGCCACCGCGTTGCAGTAGCTCGAGTAGCTGTCGTAGCGCAGCCTCTTTTTGGAGTAGGACACGGTGTCGCCTACCAACTTCTCGCTGTCCTCCGGGGCCGACGAGTCCGCGGCTCGGAAGGTGGTGTGCACCGGCAGCCCGCAGATGGCCGCAGTGTAGCACGTGTAGCTGTTGTTCCGGCGCAGCAGCCGGTAGCTGCTCTCCTGGGCTGGCTTCTCCTCTGGGCCCCTGTCGATGTGGATTTTATGCAGCAGGTCTTTGTAGAGCCCCGAGTCTTTGTGCACGGTGTGGTACACGTGACCGTCGCTCCTGGTGTGGCCGTCGAAGCCGAAGGTGCCGTTGGAGACGGGCGATTTCACAGAGCCATGGGTCATGGACAGGGCCCTTCCTGAAAAGGGTTAGAGAAGGTCTCATTTTCCAGCCTTGCCAATATAAAGTAAGGAAACACTCCCCACTGTTTCATGGCACTTATCTCTGGAAGGCTGGGGATGACTTATTAACATACACTATCTTCTCTAAGTTGGCCATAAAGGACATGTACTATGGTTACCATTCAAAAAATAATAAACGTAGAAACATACAACAGAAGGGCAAAACTAATAATGTGGTATTTTCAGAAAACATGTTAACTTCTCCTAAAAAGTGTCTTCCAGAAATTACTATGGCACTTGGCACTAAGAAATTCATCTTAGAAAAACTTCATAGGTAAGACAAAACCTACTTCATGTGAGGTGGATATTCCAGGTGCTTCTGTTTTGGTTTTGTCTTTGGAGGCAGGATCTCAGCTATGTCACCCAGGCTGGAGTGCAGTGGTGCAATCATAGCTCATTCCAACTCCAGGGCTCAAGTGATTCTCCTGCCTCAGCCTCCCAAGCATCTGGGACTACATACAGATGTGCACCATCATCCCGGCTAATTTTCTAGGTGCATCTTAAAAGGTCAGTCATACTGTCAAAGGCAGTATCTGAGATAAATCAGGCAAAACAAATTTGCTTTCTCTGGGCTACATCTGAGACTGTGCCTGTGGCAGGCAGGTGCCAGAACCCACCTTGCAGAGGTGGCAGCCACCGGGGCAGGCTTGGGCAAAGCTGTGCTCCCCTGGCACTGTCCATAAACATTAAGAGTCTAAAGGACACAGAATGGTCTGGATGTTTTCTTTTTTCTTTTCTTTTTTTTTTTTTTTTT